CGTCCCTTTGTGAAAACAGCGGCAATACGGGCCAATTGTGGGGAGTGGCCCTAAATCCAGTACTCACCTGCTGCCTCTGCGGCTGCAAGATGTACGGCTGCGGTTGCAGCAGCACCCCGGGCGGTGGCTGGGGCTGCTGCTGCGGGGGCTGCGGCTGGGCCACCACGTTGCCGCCCCCTTGCTGGTGGGGCGAGGCGGCGAGCCCCGGGTGGGCGGAGGAGGCCCCCTGCTTGCTCATGTCATGAGCCGGGCCGGGGGCGGCGGTGACGGCCGCTGCCGCTGCTGCTGCTGCTGCCGCCGCTGCTGCTGCCAGACCCTGCTGGGGGGCGTTAGCCACGCCCGGGCTAGAGGAAGGGGACGGGGAGGCCCCCGCGGGAAGTCCCGGGCTTGGGATAGGTACCGGGCTTGGATGCCGTGGTGGCTGCAGGTACAAGCATGACAAACAAACATTGGACAATTAAGATTGCCGATTGGGGGATAAATAGACCTCCATAATAATGACACTACATATTGTCTTTGTGTGTGCTTTCTTATGGTGCTCTGTACACCGTGGGCCCCCACTGGCTCAATAGGAAATTCACCAGAATTATGGACAATTCACACAGTGCTACTCAGGTGAATATTCCCCATGACGGCAAACTGGCCAACAATGTCCATGTATCACTGGTAAGCATGCGTGATGCATCCCGACCAGCGGGCGATAAACCTTATGGCGTGGCAGGAATTTGTTGAAACACGCTCGCTTCAAGTATGAGCAAAACAAACTCAAATCAAACTCATGAACACAGAAAATACGTGCATAAATAAGAGACCAAGTCCTGTGAATTAACTTGCAGAAAACCTCTTGCAACATCGATGTTTTTTCCCCGGCTTGCAGCTTTCGGGTTGCATGCGATATGCGTGTACCGCTGATGTAAAAAAATCAACCGGAATGTACAGTACATGTATAGACTAGTTCTGGTTGTTACATTTCCATCACGCGTTCTGTTGCTTGTGCGCGGCGCAGCAGGAACCAGAGCAGTTTCGTTTAATGCACTGAGCTTTGCACACACGTGTTTTCAACACTGTCACAGCCAACGTCAATGGGAACTGTTCTTGAAAGTTTGAAATTAAAAAATTACATTTCGGTGACGAACAAGTGGTAAGGTTTGTCTAAATTTTCAAAATAATTTCTTGCCAGGTCAATGGAATAATAGCCCAAATTACAATTATTCACCAATTGGCGAGAATGGCGAATGGCAGCTGGAACCCTGCATTTGCAAGGTGCATGCACATGTACCAGTTCCTCCATGTAAGGGGGAATTCTTGGTTCACAGTGTACCACAGCAAAACTGACACGTCCTGTGTGGTGCAGTCAAGCATGGAAAACCTGGGCCAATGAGGGGGTCGGGTCATTTTGGCCCCTGGCAAACAATACTTTAGACAGATGGGTACACAGAAGTTGTAACAAAGCACAGTTTCAGGCCAGTGTTGAAAAACAATACCCAACCCAGCCTCCAAAAAAAAAAAAGAATTAAAAGAAACTAAATCTCTTTTAGTTATAAAAAAAAACCAATACAAATAAAACTTTATGGTGCCAACCCCCAAACCTTTTGTATACAATGTCATACATTATTCGTCTTCAACTTTACTTTTTGAGCTATTCGACTTGAACAATGAGGCATTCTCTTGTGCCTGTGCCCACAATTATCCTAGACTTGAATTGAGACATTCTGTAACCACTCAACCAGTGACAATGGAGCGCTGCTAAGCTGTGCAGTATCTGATCTACAGTCACCTGTCATGACCAGCTCGGCGCTTGGTATGAAGGTGAACATAAACATGAACACAATTCTGTGATGCTGGACCAAATGTTTGTGCTCCGAATGTGCGGACGTTGAACACATTTCCACTCCAGCAATTTTACCGCAACTGTTCTGTGACTAATGTATGAACCAACCTTGAAAAAAAAAATTGCTTCTGCTAAATACATCAGGAGAAGAGACTGCACATCAAACAAAAAATTTTTTTTCTGACGTAAAAGGAAATACCCAATTTTTGGTCTGGCCCAATAAGCCATGCACCACTGACTTCTCTTGGACATGCTGGGGGAGGGGGTCAGCATCAAGCCAAAACGGCCCAGGCCCCAGCCTGATGTCTAGCCAATGACCGCAGGCCAAAGGCACTGGTGAAGGGTGGGGGGGGAGAGCAGCTAGGAGTGGACAAAAGGTCCACTGCAAATGGCTATTGTTGTTCAGGAATTTGCCCTCGTCTGACCAGGGTGGTGCCAGAGTAGAGCAGAGCCTTCTTGGTTGTGCAATTCATGGACAAACCATCCCTGCGGATATCACGGAGGGTCACATGGCAGCATAAAAGCAATCTGTCCCTTTCAGGGGCACCGAGGAGTCAAAATGCTACTTGTGTTCTGATGGAACGAATTTACTGCCAAGGCTCTAAGATTAACTTATTACACAAGATTATAAATGCTGTGTACAGGCACAATCTGGGTGTCCCATATATGAACAGCTTGAATATAGCATTTTAATCATACATGTAACAGTTCCAAGTCCATAAAACCAATTTGTTATTAGCCCTTTGCAAACTAGGGACAGTGCTTCCACTTTGAATATTTGATGCACTGGATCCAAATGGCATAAGTGTAACCAAGCCTACCGAGTAGGCGCTGACATTCAATCATGGATACTGGCTGGCACAATAAAAATAGGTCGCTGATTAGTGCAAAGTCCCCTGATTTTGGGGGAAAAAAAATGTGCGCGATCGGGAACCTTTCAAAAAAAGTCCAAATAAAAGAGGAAGAGCGGGTCGTGCCTGATTCCAGGTATTGACACACTGGTCTGACTGGAACATGCGCAGATTCCAAAGGTCTTACACGTATCTCTCTCTTACCCTAAAGGAACCGGGGGAAGGGGTTTGCCGACCATCTCATAGCCCCCTCCCCAACTTGGGATGCCAGGGGTGCTCTTTTCAAACAATAATTGACAAGTATGTAAAGATGCTCTTTATCAGTGCGATTGTGAAGTGTCCATTCAATCATATGTATGGTTTTGTACAGGGGTTACATGTAGTTAAGGCCATCTGGATGTCAAGGTCAACTGCACATCGGCCCAACTGCATGAGCACATCAATGAAGAAGTACAGATATACATTATTGGCCGATGTGTCTAATTTTCACAAAATTGGTGTCAAAATTGCACTGCCGTGATTAACATACCAGAAAATTGATGTTGAGGGGGGCAGATCTCCCAAACTTGTTCAGGGTTGGCTTTGAATGGTATTACTGGAAAGGTCTGTGTCAGCTCTGTTGGATGAGCTCCACAACGGGACGGAGGGGAACAGACCGCTTGCTCAAGCTACATTTTAAGTCAGGTAACCTATCATGGGTGTCAATCAACGACGAGCATAGCGTCCTTCCATAAAAAGGTGTGTCGCAAGTGTTGTTTACCAAAAATAGGACGACGCTATGTAAATATGTTTGATAGCCGCAACAGGTCACGCGACTTAGAGGGCGCAATCAGTCTTTTCTGACAGCGAATTCTTTAGTGGGTCCAGGTGACGAAGTTCTCTTGGACACACCTTTCTGTGAACTAGCGATATATGCCCTTGTTCAGTGTACGAAAACCATCTGACATCCCGCACGGCACAATTTCACGGAGCAATTCAAATTGTTCCGTGGACGCTTTTCCGACAACAGGAGGAGGGGACAGCTCACTCTACAGCTACAGTACATGTATGCTGGTTACAGTGTGAATCCAAACCTTGCTCGCTGAAGACACTTTTTGAGAAAGGGGTTGCTCGTTGGCTAATAATGGATTTTTACTCAACGACGTTTTGCCCGAGAAAAGGAAATTTGCAACAGGGAATATCAGACGTGTCAGCAGCTGTTTAAGTGCACACGTTGATGCCACGTGTAACATTTGAGATTTTCTCCCTGGGATGACATCACAGTTTTGCTCATGAAATGTCCACTGGCACTTGCACAAAACCCACAAAACCAAATCACCTTTCAAAACCGCAAAACAGAGACTTAAAAATAAGGTTCACCGAAACACAAAGGGTTAGGGTTGCATGGCACGGTCCCTCTTAAACGGGTAGGGTGTGAGATTTTAATCAAATCCTCCGGTACATTTCAAAGAGGGACCAACGTGAAGCTTGGAACTGTTGTGCCTACTTTCCAAATAAAACAAAAAAAAAAATGATGGTGAAGTGCTTCAAGCTTGTCATTACAATAGAAAGTGTCATACCAATATGATTAATCTTTAAGAGTTGCAAAATGGAGTCCAATACCATTTTGGTGGTGACTGGGGAAGGGGGGGGGAGGAACAGACTGCTCGCTTACCTGATGAAATACCTGCTGTCTGTGCGTGATTTGGGTGTGGTCCTGATCCGATCTCAGCTGCTGTTGTGGCACTGCGCTTCTTAATCTGTGCATTTTCCGGTTAAGGAACGTCACAGGGTGGGAAACATACACAATTACACATGAAATTTTAACAGAGG